TCTCTGCCCCTCCCCCACTCATGCTCTGTCTCTGTCTTCAAAAAAATGAATAAACGTTTAAAAAAAAATGTAAACTGGTTCTCAAACATTTTGGTTTTGGAAATTTTTAAAAATTATTCAGAACCCCCAAGAACTTTTGTATCTGTGTGTGACTTCTATTGATACTTACTGTACTACAATTAAAACTGGGAAAAATTTTAAATATATAATTTATATAATTAACTATAATATAATAAAATACATTTCAAAATAATAACCCATTACATGTTAACATTAATAATGGATTTTTATGAAAAATAGCTTTTCCAGAAATAATCAGGGAGAAGAGTGGCACTGTTCTACATTTTTTTACAAATCTTTTTAATGTCTGATTTAATAGAAGACAGCTCAATTCTCATATCTCCTCGTGTATTCAGTCTGTTGCTATATATTGTTTTGGCTGAAGTAAATGAAGAAAATCCAATCCCACACAGATATATAGTTGGTAAAGATGTCAGCCATTCTTTCAAGTAAAATGGTATTTCAGGAAAAAGATGTGGCTATTTCAAAACAATCATAGAAGTGCTTTTCCTGGAGACAAATGCTCTACTTTTGCAGACCACAAAAGTACTTTATGTGTACTTCTCACTTTATCACACAAAATATTAAAAAGAGGGCCACTTGGGTGGCTCAGTTGGTTAAATGTCTGACTTCGGCTCAGGTCATGATTTCACAGTTCATGGGTTTGAACACCACGTCGGGCTCTGTGCTGACAGCTCAGAGCCTGGAGCCTGCTCTGGATTCTGTGTGTGTCTCTCACTGCCCCTCTTTACTTGCCTACTTCTTTATATTAGGTGAGCGTGTGTTAAAATATACTTAATGTAAAATTTACCTTTTTAATGATTTTTAGGTGTACAGTTCAGCAGTATTAAATACATCCATTGTTGTGTATAGGAGGCTTTTAACTTTAGCCAATTCCTGTAGAAGCATTTGTCTTATTTACCTGCGCATTTATCAAATGTTTATTTCAGATGCGACAGGGGAGATTCAATCACTTTTGAGATTCTGCATTTCTCTACACGGCTTTTTCAATTTCGCATACAATTACGGCAAAGTGGGGTGTTTTTATTGGCGAGTTTCTTTAACTGTACATTCTCCAGACTACGTTAGTTGACTGCAGACAATTAAATTTACTACTCAGCACATACTTACCGGGCTACATACTTCTAAACTCAGTTTCTGTAATTTACATTCCCCAGCAAGCTCCCCGAGCGCGAAGGGCCTATTATCGCGAGAAACCGCCGATCCAGGTGGGGGGCGAGGGGAGGCTTCAGTTTCAATGGATTCCCAGCACCCTTAGCGAATTTCCGATTCCCTCACTGCGCATGGTACGGCGCAGGCGCAATAGAGATACCTTGACTTACGCGCGCTTCAGAAGGTATAAATAAGGATGCCTTGGGGGTTGTTCGGTCCTTTCGAGAAAGCAAGCGGCACTGTGTTCGATTTGGTGAGTGTTTTTACCCCCTCGATTCATTAGCTCTACGTCTAGTCTCTCAGGCCAGCCAACCAGCTTTTCCTGTGGACATCGTACTATTTAGAAGGATTCTTCTCAGCGGTGTCTGTGCTAACTACACTTATTTGTGCAGCGGGGCTGGGCCGGATGTAGGCCGCGGAGGCCTTGCGAGCCGCGCGCGGGTCTTACCCATAGCGGAGGAGCGCGAGCGCCGAAACCTCCAGGGCTGTTACCTCCCGCGTCGGGACGCTAAATGCGCGGCCCGCCCTCTCGCTATTGACCATCGCCGGTTTATTAACTTGCCTCCTAGGAGGCGGTGGAGTTGCAAGGAAGACATTTTATTTCTGACCCCCATCGGAGTTCCAGAATTGATTTCGAAACGGACGGATCTTAATCCTGCTGCTAGTTGATTTGTGATGTAGGGTGGTTTCACGACTGTAGATCGGTTTATACATAACGAGGCATAACTGTGGTCTCGGCTCTGCATTTTTCTGGCAGTAGTGCTAATCGCCTGTTGGGATTTATAGATAGGTTTGGGGTATCTGGTTGGCAATTCATTTAGATTACAGGCATGAGACTGCTGATAACTCGAATTTCGTTGCCAGTTTGGAATTCAGGTTTCACCTGGGGAATTGGGGAAGTCGTCAGCTGGTTGAAACTTGTTTCTAGCTCAGTAGTCTGCAAGTTAAGTAAATTACAGTGACCAACGTGGATACTCTCGGGAGGTCACTCTCCCCGGGCTCTGTCCAGGTGGCGTAGGGGAGCATAGGGCTCTGCCCCGTGACGTACAGTCCCTTTCCACGACGTTGGAGATGAAGCCGGGCCTTGAGTCTGCGCCTGCATATTCCTACAGCTTCTCAGAGTCCTGTGGACGATGACTGAGGAGACAAACCATGCAGGAAACAGCTCTTAGAGCACCCCCTATCTGGAGCTAGATTGATTGGAAATGAAAGAAAATTCTGCTCTTAATCAGCTGCTGTTCTACTGGATTAAGCTCTTACCTACCTTGTTTTGCAGCAGTTGCTCAGGATTCCAGATAATTTGATTTGGGGTAAGTAAACCAAAGGATTTGGGGTAAGAATTGTTTCTGACTTGCCAGTGTTTGCCTGTCGACATTTAATCATTCCAGCCGGGTTCCTTTTCATGAATGTGCTCTTGCCATTTAATACATCCAGATAGTAACTTTGACGTTTTTGCTGGCATGTCAGCAGTTTCATAGATTTATGCTCATGTCTGGGAAGATAGCCTTTTATAGCCAGTAAAAATTATTTTCATCTCTTTAGTTGTGTGATGGGGTAGAAACTTCTGCTTTGCTAATGGAAAAACTGCGTTTGGGTGGCTTAACCAAAGGCTGTCCATGGGAGCCAAGGATTTATTCTCTGGTACGGACCCTTTCCATGACAATGGAGATGAAGGGGGCCATATGCACCTGAATATTCCTAGGTCAGTGAGTAAGATAAACCTTGGAAAAGGTAGTAGTAATGACCGGTTTTTAAACAGGCTTACCTCAAATTCACTTGTGTAATAAGGGATGGAGGAAAACGAAATCTCTTAAATACTTTGAGGGTGGTGCTGTTTAATTGGTCATTCCAACGTGGATACTCTCGGGAGGTCACTCTCCCCGGGCTCTGTCCAGGTGGCGTAGGGGAGCATAGGGCTCTGCCCCGTGATCGTACAGTCCCTTTCCACGACGTTGGAGATGAAGCCTTGGTCTGTAGCCTGCATATTCCTACAGCTTCTCAGAGTCCTGTGGACGATGACTGAGGAGACAAACCATGCAGGAAACATCTAATGAAAACTAAAAGGAAAGTTTTTAGTGAGGTCTTCAATAGGAGTCTGATCCTCTTTTTTGTTTGCTTTCATTTAGGATTGAAGAGGAGCCTCACCTTACATTGGCAGTCGACACTTTATGCTTTGGGGTACTTTACTTGGCAGGGACAGTTGGTGAAGTGGATGATAAATGTTTTTGTAAGCTAAGCCTGGAGGTTTAGAAGCTTGAGCACATTTGACCCCTTTTTAAAACTGCCCTTAAGAGAAACTCAAGGGGGAACAGTAGGTTTTTAAGCTTAATTTAAGAGAGAGCAAGTATGTGGGAGGGGCAGAGGGGGAGAGAATCCCAAACAGGCTCTACCCTATCAGCATGGAGCCTCAACTGAGATCATGACCTGAGCAGAAATCAAGAGTCTGACTGAGCCACCCGGCACCCTGATCCATGTGTTTCTGATGTACTTATGGATTACAATAAAGATGACTGCATATTTGTGTGGCTCCTTTTTATGTGGAAACATGACTTGACAAGGCCCTGAGCTTGTCTTGTATATGCTGGCACTTGTTTACTTGGGAAAATGTGTTGGCTCCTACCAGTTCCCTAGTGTGCAGGGAAGAGCTTCCTGGTTGCATTCAAAGGTGGGTAATGCTTAGGACACCTAAGGAATTAGGTGAGAGACCAACCTACACTTGGCCACTAGACGGGAGATCTGGGTTACTGATAGACCAAGCCTAATCTTCAGTTTCCCCACAGTGTAGTACAGGCAAGTTAACCTTAGCAAATACCTGATTGGACATAAACGGCAAAATCCCACCACTGTTAGCTAGATAGCCTCTACTGCCATTGTTCCAAGTAGTGTACTTCAGCCTGAGAGAATTGTCATCCTGCTTATGATGTGAGGCCGAGTCACAATGGAAATCTTGTCAAGCACAGGCACTGACTGCCAGCGTTGGAAACTAGTCCAGGCCCTGAAGGATGGGAACCATCTAGAAGGTAGAGTCTAGTTCCTGGGTGGGACTAAATGAACATACAGTGGGGAGGGAGACTGTAACAGCCTCCTGCCCATTTAGAAGCCATCAAGGTGATTGAGGAGATTAGAGATGATTGAGTCCTAGCCCAAATTTTTGGAATGTCCAGGCAGACTGCTTCACTCCTTTGAGCCTCAGATGATAGAATTGGAAGTAGTTAAACCATGATTGTGGAGAATCTGGGAGAGCTTGCTGGGCTTACTAAATTTTTTAATGCTTATTTTTGAGAGTGCAGGAGAAGGGCAGAGGGAGATACAGAATGCAAAGCAGGCTCCAGGCTCTGAGCTGTCAGCACAGAGCCTTGACTCCGGCTCAAACAGATCATAACCTGAGCTGAAGTCGGACACTGAGCCACCCAGATGCCTCTTGATGGGTTTATTTTTAAGGAGTACCAACTTAAAAGGTCATCTTGAACAAGGGTTCTTGCAATGCTTACCTCTGCCAGGCACTGTTCTAAGCATTTTGGCATGTATTCACAATTCTGAGGTATTAGTCTAACAGGGTGATTGCTTAAGCCCACAAGTAGGAAGCAGCCTCTGCAACTATCCCCCTCTTGCACACTTGCTGGGAGGGAGCCTGCATAGCCAAAAGTCTCCTCTTTGGTATCATTGTCACATCTGCAGTCTGTGCAGGAGGTGCTCAGTAAAATGAAAAGTGTTCTTTTTCTCCTACAGCTAATCTGGGGATTTACAGTTTTTAGTACAAATTCTCAGCCTAGGGCCGGGTAACCTGCTGGGCAGGAAATACGTGCATTTTTTTCTCTTTATGTCCAAAGTGTAGCTGAAGCAAAGCTGTTGGCAAGTTTTCTAGGCCCCACCCTTTCTGCCAAACTTCTACCTGCCTGTGGGCTTTTTCTGCAAGTAGGCATTCCTAGCAAACTTGGGAGTCCTGAGACAGTCTGGGTTTGAATCCTAATACCACCAATTGCTGCTCACGCGACCTTGGGCAAACAATTTAACCTCTCTGCTTCAATATTCTCATCCATAGATGATAAAAGTACCTACCTCTTGGGGTTTTAGTGAGATTTAAATGAGTTAATATTTGTAAAAAGCTTACAGTCTCATAAAAGTACAATGAGCTTGTTAAGTATTACAGCAAACAACCTGGGATATCGTATCCAATAAATCTGGTTGAATGAATAAAGTCTACCATCACTATTCAACCAGGTTTACCTCAGAACCAACCCCATCTTTCCAGGAGAGATTAAGGGATTAGAAACTTGCTCCAGATCATCTAAGTAGTAAGGAGCAGAACCAGGATTCGAACCTAACTCCTAAACCATAATATGATAAGCTATTATGTTACTAGCTTTAAACAAGACAGTGTAGTGATGTGCATACGTAATTTAATACTCCACATGCCTCTATAAAGAAGGTACTCTGTGCCCATTTAGCAGATAAGGACAACTGAAGTTGGAGGATATGTGGAATTTGCCCACGTTATACAGCCAGTAAGTGTCAGAGCATGCATCTGAGCAAGGCAACTGACTGCAGAACCTATTCTCAACCTATATTATATCATGCCTCAAAAAATACTATTTTCACCTGGTTTAAACCACTTTTTGGTATTAAGCTAATGTAACCACTACACCCTAAAACCTCAGTTTCAGTTGTAATTAATTATATACCATGTGCCTGGTTTTACTCAACACTGGAAAATGAAGTGGAAATGAGTAGTTTCTTGGGGAGTGAAAGTCCTTCCTCAACCATGCCTCTCCCTTACCCCCATTTCTTCTATCTTTGTGTATGTCTTTCCCTCTAATGGATGGGACCCACATCTTAATGATAGTACCTGACATTTGAGTAGGATTTGCCATGCACTAGGCATTTTTTCATCCTTACAAGAGCCCTATGCAATGCAGGGAATCTTATTAAATCCATGTTATAGAAAAAGAAGACGATCAAGATCAAGGTTATATCATTTGCCCAAGGCCACACAGAGTGAAACTTGAAGGTCTTTGTCTCTAGAACCTGAGCTCTTAAGTTTATTTTGAGAGAGGATGAGCACACATGAAGGAGGGGTGGGGGGGCAAGAGAGCCCCAAGTAGGCTTCCAGCTCAGTGCTCAATTCTACAACTGTGAGATCATGACATGAGTGACTATCAAGAGTCTTATGCCCAACTGACTGAGCCACCCAGACACCCCTAGAACCTGAACTCTTAACCACTGTCTTCACTTCCCCTTCTCATAAGCATTAGCACCTTGAGCATTCCATCATGATAATTAGCATTCTGATGTGACTATTTTTCAAACTGATGTCCGTCTAACCCAACAGTTGGATCCTCAAGAACGGAACCATATTTGTAAGCTCAGTTCCTATACTATGCCTGGCAATAGCAAACACTAGTTGATAATTTTGTTGTTTTTCTATGTTCTGTTCCATTGACTTCTGCTTTTATCTTTATTGTTTTCTTTTGATTAGGTGTAGTTTGCTTTTCCTTGTTTCTTAAGGTAGAAGCTGATGTCACTCATTTGAGAGATTTCTTTTTTTCATACAGGCATTTAGTGCTGTTAGTTTCCCCCAAATATTGCTTTAACAATATCCCACAACTTCTGGTGTGTTGCGTTTTCATTTTAATTGAGTTCAAAATACTTTCAAATTCCCTTTTGATTTCTTTGATCTATAGGCTATTTAAAAGTATATTCATTTTTAAATATTTGGGGGTTTTCCAAAGATCTTTCTGTTACTAGTTTCTACTTTAATGTCAGTGTTGTCTAAGAATATACTTTGTATGACTTGAATCCTTTTAAATTTACCAAGACTTGTTCTATGACCTAGACCATGGTCTATCTTGATAAATGTTTCATGTGCACTTGAATATGTATTTTACTTTGTTTGAAGAAAGCAAGGTGGAACGTGAAGAAAGGTGAAGCATTCGATAAATATCAGTCGGTTCAAGTTGGTTACAAGAGTTGTTCAAGTCTCCTGTATCCTCACTGGTTTTCTACTTTTTCTATCAATTCTTGAGAGTGAGTTATCAAAATCTTCACCTATATTTGTGGAGTTGTCTATTTCTTCCATAAGTTCTATCAGCTTTTGGTTCACATATTGAAGCTCTGTTATTAGTTGCATATATGTTCAGGATTATGTATTTTGAATAATTGACTCCTTTATCATTTATGAAATTACTTTATTTCAATAATATTCTTTGCTCTGAAATCTACTTTGTTATTAATTTAACTGCTCCGGCTTTCTTTTGACTAGTGTGACAGAGGATGTCTTTTCTATCCTTTTACCCTTAAACTATTTGTGTATTTATATTTTTAACATATTTCTTGGGGTGCCTGGGTAGCTAAGATGGTTAAGTGTCTGACTCTTGATTTCAGCTGGGTTAGGATCTCATGGTTCGTGAGTTCCAGCCCTGCATTGGGCTCTGTGCTGACAGTGTGGAGCCTGCTTGGAATTCTCTGTCTCTTGCCCTCTCTCTGCCCCTCCCCCACTGTCTCTCTCAAAACAAATAAACATTTAAAAAATAAACTATTTCTTGTAGGCAGTGCATAATTGGGTCTTGCCTTTTTTAATTTATTAGGATAATCTCTGCCTTTTAGTTGTAGTGCTTAGACCATATTTTTGTATGATTAACGTTTAGGTTTGAGTCTTATCATCTTAAATATGTTTTCGATTTATCTCATCTATTCTTTGTTCCTTTTTTCTTCTTAATCTACCTTTTTTTTAAAAAAAGAATCAACTAAGGATTCTTTTTTGTTTGTTTCTTTTGGGGGGGTTGGGGCAGAGAGAAAGGGAAACTGCATTGTCAGCACAAAGCCTGATGTGGTGCTATAACCCACAAAGCATGGGCTCATGACCTGAGCAGAAGTCAACCAACTGAGCCCCCCAGGTGCAGCTCTTATTCTCCCTTTTAAAAAATGAGTAACTTTTTCTGATTCCATCTTACCTTTTTTGTTGGCTTCTGGCTATAACTTTGTTTTATTATTTTTGTGGTTGCTCTAGAGTTTACACATCTTCAGATTATCAGATTCTACATTCAGTTGATATTGTATCAATTCATTCACTTATGATAGTATTATATCATATCATTTATTCACTTATGACAGTAAAAGAACTTTATGTTGTCACCCCACAGTCTTTGTTATTGTTGTCATGTATATCGCTTTTATATATGTTTTTATATATGTTATAAAACCCACAATACATTTTTTTTGTCTAAACAGGAAACTATCTTTTTTAAAGTTTTTTGTTTTTTTTTAATGTTTATATTTATTTTTGAAGGAGAAAGAGACGGAGAGGGGACAGAAGAGTGAACGGGGGAAGGGCAGAGAGGGAGGGAGACACAGAATCCGAAGCAGGCTCCAGGCTCTGAGCTGTCAGCACAGAGCACAACCTGGGACTCGATCCCATGAGCTGAGAGATCATGACCTGAGCTGAAG